AATCGTCTCACCTGCCTAGCTCATACTTACTACAGAAGTGGAAGGCTGGTGGCAATCTCAGCGACGAGTGTCCCACGTGAAGACCCAAACGCCACTCATTGGACTCTAACAACCAGTCTAAGGGCTGCATTTGGTCTAATGAATTAGTCGATTCAGTCATGTCTTCTCAGACTGCTATAGGTGATTCCCAACTGGTTAGGAATGCTTCTTTGATTCCATGGCACAGTGGCAGCTTGCAGGATGCTTCTCCCCCCCTTCGATGGCAAGATCTTTCTCCCCAATAAATACAATAAATCTGACAGCGACCTCTAATATCTCCAGACCTTTACCTATCCATAACTTAATCCGCCCAATTGACACTTTGTCTGGCACCATTACCTCTAATTGCCCTCGCAATCAGTCACACAAAGAGACGTCCTTGATTCTGCCCAAAGTTGACAAGAAGTCTAAATGATGCTGGTGAAATTAGATCCCATTCACTTGGCTCAGCTATCTCTGTGGCCAATTCTGTTGAATCTCGACTTATTTTCTGGTTCTTGAGATGTCGCATGGCAAGTTCTGAAAATTCACCAAGATCTACTTGATGTAATAATGTGCTCACACGTTGGCCATGCTGAAAGGAGAGCAAGAAGCTTTTCTCAAGTTGACCTAAAGTAGCAAGGAATAAGCATTTATAATGAGATACTGGAAATTGTAACGTACCAGGTATGTCATTTGTTTTAGTCTCTTGAAATTGTGAGTTCATTCTCTCCTATGGAAATGACCACCAGGATCGCATTGGCCCAAATGACCCCATCATATCACCCAAATGCAGTAAATAATGATGATTGGGCTTCATTCGATGAGATTTGAACAGTGCTTGTAGCCCTTTTAGATACTCTTCACTATGGGTTTTGAATGCAAGGACGTCTGAAATTGGAATACTAACATCATCATCAGGGATATCTTGAGATGTAGGGACAGATTCTCTGCTTCTATTCCGATGCATCTGTCTCCATAGGGGGATTATAGAACCAGAAGGTCGTTGAGGTGGCTTCAATGAAGGTCAGTGACATTGAAAGATCAGGATCTGATCACGCACACTCTCATTGAGAAGAAGGTCGATCATTTCTCTTTTTGATGGGTAATCAAGACGATAGGTCAGGCTTGACATGTCTATCCCTTTATCTTCGCAAGCACGATAAAGCTCTGGCTGAGGTTGCAAGCTCAGTTCGAGACGCTTTACACCTTCTGCTACATCACTATTAAGTATTGTTTCCGTGTCGCCATAATCAATGTCTTGTATATAGTGGACAGGGCGCTCCTGCTCAACCTGCACACAAATAAATGAATGGCAATAAACAGGTTTGTTATAGAAACTTCTTCCTTACCCATTGGCCAAGTGCAACAACCATATCGACTTTTTTTGCTTTTCCACCCCATAGTGGGACGCTTAAGAAGCGGAGGTCTCTTTGTTGGCATAGATGCTCAAGGGTGACTGAATGGAAGCGAGAAAGGATGTCCAGTAATCGTGAGTTAATCCACCGACGAGATAATATTTCATTGCCTCGTATCTCCTCCTGTGGAAATGAGGGAGACTCTGCCGAAGTTGAAGTAGTGGTAGCCTGGTTGACCTCCACTCTTTCTGTGAGACCAAATATTCTCCGTATATGATTGGCAATGACTCCCAATAGGACTGTATGCATTGGATCGATGACAAAGCATTTTGTCAGGTCAAGATATTGAAGTTCAGCAAGCTCTGTCCATCGCACACCTGACTCATCAAATATCCTTTTCCTCTCATCAACAGATGATGCATCCCGCCATGACCTTATGGCTTCCAGATGAGCCTGTCTGTTAATTGGCTCCCAGGATGTAGGGTTGACATTCTCTGCCATTGAAGAGCGCTCGATAGTACAGTTACGACAGAACCGCCGATGTGCATGAGAGGCAAATCCTCCAATCTTGCAGGCAGCTAGTAAGTCTGCAATGATAATTGAAAGCATGGCTCTGACCTCCCTTGGAACTGGAGATGGATAGATGTGGCTTCTTATTGAGATACCTTTGTAAAAGAGTGTTTGAAGTTGCGAAATGAGTGGCCCCAACAAATGATTAAGGCCAGTGGTTGAGGGCTCACGAGGGCCTGGAATGAAGATAGGAAACAAGTAGTTCCGATCATACTGTATACTGGGGGGGAGATTGAGAATGATGAAATATAGGATGCCAGTACTATAATGAGAGGCACCCATTCGGTTTCCTCGGGGGCCAAACCAGTCCAGATATAGCCCTAGACATAAGTTTAAACGAGATTGATCAGAGAACAGGAATTGTTCATGGTTCTGATCGTGGAGCCCTTGGATGTAGGGTGAGAATAGGATATCATTGATTGGAGCATTCTCATGAGATCTAGATCTCATGAATCTCTCAATAGATTCTTCAATCCCAGGTTCCTGGAGTACTTTTGCAAGCCATTCTTCAAGTGAGGGAACTAGAAATATCTTCAGAGGCTGTGGGGTTACCTCTGCAGTATTGCTTTGTGCTGTATCAACCTTTGAAGCCTTGAAGAGCCTTGTTCCACATGGAATACTAGAGAGTGTATACTGTGAAGTGCATAAACCAGCTAATGCAGGCTGTCCACCAACGTATTCCTCTGCTTCAGCCCATTCCTCATTGTCTTGGGCTTGTTCCTCTTCATCCATAGCTTCTTCGTCCTCATTGTCACCAAATTCAGACCCTAAATTATCTTCCATAACTGTATCTTCATTAAGATGTGAATTATCTCGGCCCAACCGAGACTGAGAATTTGACAGGCCGAATGATACAGGGCTAGTGGGTGATTGTTGTATAGGGCAGAGTGTATTACGATCATAGAGTGCAAAACAAGTTGGACACATGATGTACTCGTCATTTTTGGGGTCAATATGAAATGTCCTCGGAAGGGATTCGACATGAACTGGAAGGTGTTCGATTGCTTTGATCACAGAGTCTCGCTCTTCCATTGGGACCTTGAGCGCCTCACTTGCAATCATTTTGTATGCATCATAGATTAATTGTGCTCTTGGTTGTGACAAATGGCCAAAGACTTGATGCAACAAGGGTAAAAGGGCACAGGTTGCAGGAATTTGACTGAAATGTGTCAACGAATCTTTGAGTTAGAGTTAAAGAAGGTAATTCCATGCAAAATCGACAATGTATTAGACAAGAATTTGCCTCAGATAGCTTTAAACACGTACATGCTACCTCTTTGGGGGTGTTCTGCTGTTGCCAAGTCCAATGCAGACCTTTTATTTTGTCAATTAAGTCCAGGTTCTGGCAAATTTCCTGAACAAGCTGCCGATTTTTCTGCCGGACTTTCCTAATGACTTGGACACCAATTTCCTGGGCCTCAATGATCTGTCTACTATCAGAAGTTTGAGGATCTAAACGAAAGAAATCGAAACTTGCACTTGTATTGAGGTAAGCACTTTGCCGAAGGTACTGGACTGTTGGATGTGCTGAAGGACTGTTGACAAAGCAGATCTCGAGTTTATCTGCAGGTTTAAGTTGTCTGATAAGTGAGTAAAAGTCGAGACATTCAGGTGGCATAAAGTCGTTCTTGTCACTGTTCATGACCTTGACCAATTCTGGATTTGTTTGAAGGTATGGATGGAGTCGACCCAATTTTCCACTTGCCATCTAGTTGGTCTGAATAGTATCCTCATCCAAATTACTTGTCTATCATCCTATGTTCACTTCCCTAATGGGATCTTGTGAAGAAGATCTCTTATCCACTTATTAGTCACAAAACTCAAATTTACGTATTAGCCGCTCGAGTATGGTTTTAGCGACCGTATAAGATGTTTATGGGGCCCAGCACTTGTAAGGGATGGTAAATATAGAAGATTTGGGGAATGGACACGTATAAGGCTGACCTGAGAGGTGGGATCCAAAGACAGATGACATGGTGGTCCGTGATTTAAGGTTGTGTATAAGGACATGTCTGAGCATACTAAAATGCACCATTATTTGGTCTAATATAAGCATCAATATATGAATTCTATTCCTACTATCAATGTGCCTGCGTGCACACCGTCGGCCTGCGTTTGCTCACAATAAATACTTAATAATTCTCTCGTGTATAATAAAGAATGGGATCAAAATCTATTCAGCAAAGTTAGTGCAACAAAGTTAATACTTGTCCAAATTCATGTCATTGGCCTTGAGCTCCTCCTTTGCCTCCCTGTCCTCCCTTTCCTCCCCTTACTCTCCCTCCCCCCCTTTTCTTCATGGGTCCTGGTAAATCCTCTTCATCCATTTCTGCATAGGAAATCTGTTCCTCTTGGCAAACTCATTTCGGTCTTCCTTGATTGCTGACTGCCCCCCCCCCCCCCCCCCCCCCCCCCCCCCCCCCTCCCCCCCCCCCCCCCCGCCCCCCCGCCCCCCCCCCCCCCGCCCCCCCCCCCCCCGGGGGGGCGCCCCCGCGGG